CCCCTTATAAAATGTGTGTGGGGGCAAGGTCTAATGTTAGTCAGGGGCAACAGGAGGGAACTCAAGGATCTTTGTGCCCCTTCCCCACACTTAATGTTACTTGGCTAGACAATTTGTAAAGTGGTGAAGAGTGCGTGGTTTGAAGGTTCGCTAATGTTTTCTTACCTAATTGGATGGGGGGGGGGGGGGGGGAAATAATGATGTACAGAGTGAACTAGGCAGTTGTGACAACACAATTGTCTCAACCTTACATTCATTGACAAAACACCCTGGATACTTTGGTCTCACTAAAATTTGAATGGATGAGATCAGTTGTCCTTTCCTATTGATGTTATGCAAAATAATGCCAGTGGTTCTTATATAGAAGAACTGAAGTACTTTCAGACTGTGACAGGTACCATAAGTATTGGACCTCTGCGCTGGCTGCTGAAGATAAGGATGGAGCATGCATGGGAATGCCCCTAGTGATGTGATGTCAATGCTTGACCCAAATCAACTCAATTCAACTAATGAAGATTAAGCTCCACTAGAAGTGCTCAAAACCTTAGAAATTTTACAAGTGAGACAGACGTTCGATTTGAACAGTAGAAGATCAAACCCAGTGGCTTTGAGTCTACAGGACAACATTAGAACTAGGCATCATTCAAATATGAAACAACATAAGTATGGGAGCTTCAACACCCATATTGTCATCAACAGCAAAAGCTTCTTAATTCAGGAAAACTCCAACATTAAAAAACAACAATTACCCTAAAATCCCCCAAGCCACTTCTCAATAACTACACAGTCACTGGTCACAATACCATCTGTATTTCATTATAGGGAGCTTTTAAAAATGAATATCAACTACCCAACCAACTCGTCATAAATAAGTACAAAAACTGACAAATTTGATTTCCAACTGTAGCATTGAAAAACAAAAAGCTTTCAATAATAAAATTTAAACACTGCACAAAATAACTGTTTCTCACTTTAGAGGTTGAAATTTAATAGTGATAAACAAAACAAGAAATACAAAAACTTATCAAACAAATGTTGGATGTGGTGGAGAACAAGACTATAGCATATTTTAAAAAAACAAGCATAAACTGTGAAAGAATACAGGAAGTAAGTAAAGCTTATGTAGGCACATAGCACACGGAGCTAGACAAATATTTTCATAGACCAGTCTATGTGACAATAGCCAGTGGTAGCCAGAGTGCGAATAATTGACATCTTAAAAGATCTGAACATCAAGGAAGATTGGCTAATAAACAGCATCCTTTCTCCAAAGCTGAAATATTTTGGTCATATCAAGCGCCACAACAGATTGGAAAAAATTATAGCAGAAGGCATAGTACCAGAAAGTAGGGACAGGGGCCGACCGACACGAAGATGGGCACAGGACATAAGTGACTCCTTGAGTGTGAAAGTGCATGAGGCGGGAGAACAAGCGAGAGACCGAGTTTCTTTCAGGCAGACTGTCATAAGAGTGACATTCTGCAAAGGACCTGCTACATGATGATGATGATGAGCCACAGTGCACTGGGTCGCAAATTATTCCTCCCCACAGCGCTCAACAGCAGAAGTGGTTGATGATGATGATGATGAGTCTATAGGTAATGTGACCAACATCATGTTGGTTGTCTTTACTTCCCAGAACCTTATTTGGTTCCTATTTTAAGCTCGCCCAACCTGGCAGCCAAGTTAATTTTAATGAGGATCTGAACCAAGACCTTTTGCACCAGCAGGCATGTGTATAGCCACCATGATAACACTGCCCCCCATGCAAGAATATAAACACATAAATCAATAAAATGATGGCACTAAGACAACGCTTGTTGCTCCATCAGGCTCATTATTTCTCAGTACGCAATGCCAGTCTGGAACATCCTTTAACTCTTTCAGGACCATGAATTTTGACAGACTTGGCCCACATTTATTTCTCTCTACAAAAATGACACAGGGGGTGGTGTACAAAAAGGCAATAGAGAATGTAATATACTTCTAATCACTACAAAAGTATGTTTTTTTAAGAGAAATTAATGTACATTTTGAATCTGATAATAAGTGCATGTTTAATACTGTTATAGTTAGTTGGAAAAATTAATTTCAGAACAAAAAAATTCTTCACTTACCATGGTTCTGCCGCCATAAAAGCAGTAACAGTAAAAGTAAGGGACCCTTTTCCACGCCTTTCATTTTATAAACCAATGGCACAAGATAGGTGATGTGGTCAGCATCACGCCGGGCACCTTTACTTCCCAGCGCTGCACCTGGTACCCACTCAAGGCTGGGTCGATCTGGGAGCCAAGGTCATTTTTAAGATAAGTTCGGCTCCGCCAGGGAGCAAACCCACGACCGTCTGATCCGCAGGTGAGCATGGCGACTCCCGCTATAAGAGCAGTGAAGATCCAAATTTGAGAACAACACTTTGAAGTTTGTCAAATTTCCGAATATATTCCAAAGTTATAATAAGTTTCTTGATTAGTTTAGTACTCAGAGGCTCTAAGTTCTCACATAGTGCTGAACAAAATTTCAGAGAAAAAGTGGCATAAAAATGTATCATTACACACACGCTGTTTAGTAATTACTTTGTAGTTAAATACAGACAGTAGCTGCAATGATCAATTAAGCTTAGCCATAGTATGGTATGGTCTATTTGTTTACAGCACTTTCCTTCTCTTAAACCCTAAATACAGTAGCAATGGAACATTCTCTGTGTCCAGCTCGTCAGAATCGCTAGATTCCCAAACAGCTGATCGCTTAGCTGCTGCTAGTGTAACTTAACCGTCTGAATCACTTTCCGGAAAATCTAAATTTTCATTATCATTATCAGAATTGAAAACATCTGACTGAAACAATTTCTGAGCTTCGGCCACAGAAAGACACATAATGCGGCCTGTACTTGTGGTTGGAACACTGCTGGTGTCTATGGTGTCAAACAGGAAATTCCTGGAAAGGAATGAGATCAGTTTGCGACTATACCTGGCTGAAAAAAGGCTCCTATGCAAAGAAAACAAGTTAGAGTAAACTTCCCTGAATACTTTTAAAGTAGCTTCGAACATTAGAAACAAATATGGAGCTGTGTGCGAAGCAATATGTATGGGACATACGATCGACACTCACAATGTTGTTTGGGCAAATTGGAACTTTTCAATCAATACTCACAGCGTTGCTCGGCCTTAAAGAGTTAAGCCTGTGTCAGTGCTTTGATGTACTTGTCTGAACACTTTAAGCTCATCCACATTAGTAACTGGCACTCCGGACAGCGAGAGTTTGGTAGCTCTGGGTTTTCTTTTCATGCCAGCTTCAGCTCTTCCTGTGCAGCGAGATGCTTTCATGTGAGCCCTCAACCCTTCTCTGTAGATATATGTCCGGCCACACACGTCACAAGCATAAGACCTTTTTCCTGTGTGTCCTAAACGATGATCCAACAAGGAAGAACTATAACTGAAGCCTCTGCCGCAAATTTCACACACATAGAAATACTTATCACTGTGCATTCTCTTATGCTTACTCAACTCTCCCAAAGATCGTGTGCGCTTGCCACAAATTTCACACTCGTATGGCTGTTCTCCTGTATGCCAACGTCTGTGATGTTTTAAATTTGCTTTTTGAGCGTAAGTTTTTCCACACAGCTCACAGGTGAACCTCTTTTCCCTGGAGTGGGTCTCCATATGACACTGCAATCTACGCTGGCAGACAAACAGTTTCCCACAAATCTTGCACATGTGATCCGGTTCTTCTGTATGCTTTTCTACATGCTTAGCCAATGATTCTTGTCTCCTGTAAATAAAGCCACATATGCCACATTTATTCTGAGGCTGCAAATGATTCTTCAGGTGTCCAACCAGCCTGAAGACATTACTGTAAGGTCTCTGACATAAATCACATACAAACCTACCATTGATCACATGTTTCTCACTATGTTGCTTATAATCTGTTGAACTCGGAAATTCCTCCCCACAGTGCCAGCACAAAAAGCTCCGTTTATGATTATAATTTATGTGATTATTCAGGTATCCTTTCTTACGAAACACCTTCCCACAAACTGTGCACTGGAAGTTTTTAACATCTCTCTTTGCCTTAATTCTCACGGCAGGTCCTCGGCGTGCAGCCTGCATCCTCTGTTCCACAGTGTGTGTATTTGTATAATGCACCGCATAGTTTTCTGCGTCTGCATATGTTGCTTTGCAAACTCTGCAAATAAATTCAGAGCAGTCTTTATGTTTTGTTAAAAGATGTTTCTTGAAGCAATTCTGACCAGCAAAAACACTACTACACTGGCAACATTGAAACTGTTTCAATTTAAAATTCTCCCTGGCTTCAGCAGTTGAAGTCAGCGGTGCTGACATCTTGTTGCTATCTTCACCCACTTCACTAGTACACGCTGCAGCAGCTTCACTATTCCAATCATCCTTCTCAAGGCTTGTGACAGCCAACCCTTTATCTATCTTTCCAAAGCACACATCTTTAATTTTCATAAATTTGTTAAATTTATTCTTTCTCTCCACATTCCATTTGTTTTGTACTCCTTGCAACTGACCACCAACATTTTTCTTACCTGCTGAAAGAGCATTATCTTTTTCTGGGTGAAGAAAAGAAGAATCTGCACTAACAGAATGTGAATTAAATGCCACTGATGTAGACAAATCTCTATCCTGTGAACTGCTGCTTCCGGACTGATCAAACATCTCAAGGCCTACATTACTGGTAAGAGTTTCAAACCTAACAGGATTATCATCCCTATAGCTGCCATGTGATTTCTCACTGCCGTTATAATCTAACTTATTATAACAAAGCTTTTCTGCATTTGAAACACTCTGATCCTGAGATTCAGTCGTCTGTGAACTACCTACTACATTTGTTCCTATGCTATCTTTTAAATTTATGAATTCACAAATTTCTACCTGTTTCTGCAAAACAACAGAATTGTCATCCAAGTTGTTGGACATGTCCTGTTTCAAGCTGAAATAGCGGAACCTTTCAAACAATAGAATAAAATATGGAAGGCAAACCTGCTCAACAATGTGTAAAACCTTTGTTAACTTCTCCAGATTTAAATTATATACTTTCAGTGATGAGCATATAGAATTTATATGATGGCTGCCTGCAAAAAGTAACAATGACGACGAATCTCCAACTGAATCTCTATGTAATTCTGTGCTCTGATACAACAGACATTTTTTATAGAAACTATCCCATGTCTGCCATAAGGTGCCATCCTTATTAATTTCTTGGGGAAGATGTAAAATGAATTCCATGATATAAAATGATCTTCCACAAACTGAAATTTCTATTAAATGTTACATGTATTCCCAAAAAATACTGCTTGGATTCCGTCATCAAAATCTGCTTGAATATACTTGGATAGGTCTTGCTTGACAATTCCAACAAGCTTTCTGGAATCAAAACGTAAATCAAATAGACATGCTGACAATACAAGTGAGAAGGTAATTGTTTACAGTGAACTCCACAGGGACACAAACAACAATAAAGTAACTTCACTGCTGATAAATACAAGTATATAGATAATGAACAATATAACATACATTCTCAGGACCTGATTGGAGTAATAAGAAACCTGAACTTATGCTTTATGTCAGTGGTTCTCAACCTTCCTAATGCGGCGACCCTTTAATCCAGTTCCTCATGTTGTGGTGGTCCCCAACCATACAATTATTTTCATTGCTACTTTATTTCTTCAGTGAATACGTATGTGTTTTTCTATGGTCTTTGGCGACCCCTGTGAAAGGGTCGTTTGACCCCACAAAAGGGTGGTGACCCACAGGTTAAAAACTGCTGCTTTAGAGACTAAGTAAAATAATGACCCTTTTAGTACCAGCTAGGCATATGATGCTAGACTCATATTTGTATAGACCAATCAGCACGTGATGGTTGATGTGGTCAACGTCATGTGGTCCGCCTCTACATCCTGTGACATTACTTGGTATCTAAATCAGGTTAAGTCAACCTGCCAGTTAAGGTCATTTATTTTAAAAACAAAATTACAATTAAATGCAAATTTGAATGTTTTAGTCTGGCAAGTGAGGTACAGTCATTACTCTACACCCACTCCCCTTTTTTCATTATCATCATCATCATCATAAACCACTTCTGCCGTTAAGTGTCAGGGGGAGGAATATTTTGCGATCCAGGGCACACTGGCTATTGTATAGACAAGCTGTATATATATTCATAGACAAGCTCAAGTCATTGCTCTGTTTTCCCAGTGTGGGTTCCGGGGCCCTATTATAGGGAAAACAAGAATAGACCCACTGCCTACCCCAAAAGCATGCCGTAAGAGTCGATTAAATGAGAGCTTCCTTCAAAGTCAGAATGCATCTGCCTGAGAGGCAAGGAACTAGCAGTCTGCATTCAAATGAGTCAGATCTGTAAAACAGATGCACGCGCAACACTCAGGTTCTGGAACAGGACTGCCGTCCAGAAGGGGACAAACAACCAGAACTTTCCACATGAGTTTACAGCTGGTGAACGCAAAGAAGAAGAAAAATTTCAACGTCTGAAACATGAGAAGAAACTGAAAACATAAGGAAATAATCAAGTCTAGAAATATTTGGCATCAGTTTCAAACTATCATTTAGATCAGCGCTTCTCAACCTGTAGGTCGCAACCATTTTGCGGGTCGAACGATCCCTTCCCAGGGGTTGTCTAAGACCAGAGAAAAACACATTTTCACTGAACTTTTGAAGTAGTAACACATTTTTCTTTCTATGGTTGTGGTTCACCACAACATGTAGAACTGTATTAGAAGTTTGAGAACCAGTGATTTAGTTGAAGACGGTCAGATTTTGTCGGACATATTATGAGAAGAAATGCACCCAAGTACTTGCTAATGATTTGCATGATTGATGCAAAGAGATAAATATCTGAATGGCTTAGCCACATAGCTGGGGCAAGTCAAGAACCGTGACCTGATCGTGACTTTGGTATTCATGTGAGATGGTAAAATATGACAGCCTATGATTATCGATTTGACACATGATGATAATAACTAGGGCTGTACCGAATAGTGATTTTCACTATTCTGCCGAATACGAATAGCGGGACCAACTATTCGGCCAAATACGAATAGTGTATAGTCTATAAAATATATCTAAAAAAAATTTTTTTTTAAATTCCTAATGTCAAATATATGCTGAACTTTTACTTCACATAAAGTAGCACAGAATAGTCATCTTCTTCTTTAGCATTCTGAGCCCTTGAGGTTTACTGCTGCAGATATCACTCGTCTCCATTCATCTCTCTGGCTGGCCTTATCTTCACAATTTCTGACACCATTTGTTTGCAGGTCTGGCTGGATTTTATCTCTCTAACTTATTTTTTGTCTGCCTCGTGGTCTATGACCATTCCTCTCTCAGGTGTATACAGTTTTTACTTCTCTGTCATCTGTCATTCTTTCAATATGCCCCAACCATTTTAGTCTGTTAGCTCTCATGATGCCTGTGATCAATGGTGATTTAAACAGAGTGTTGCGTTGTTGCTTCTCACTCTCCATTCCCCGCTGTTAGCATCTTTGATGGGTCCAAAGATTTGTCGTAAGACTGTTATCGAAAACCTGTAATAAGGCCTCATCTCTTTTATTTCTGCTTCAAGTTTCAGAGCCTTATAAAACGACTGGTCGTTTTATATATTTCGATCTTGGTGTTGCGAGACAGACACTTTGACTTCAGCAGATGTTGAAGGGCATAGTATACTTTATTTCTAGATTGTATTCTAAATTCTATTTCTTCTCTCAGCATGTTGGAGCAGTTGAAGTTTGCACCCAAATACTTATGTGTTTCCGTTCCTTTGATTTTCATATTATCGACTTGGATGTGTCCCGGAGTTTATATTATTTCCATGTCTAGTTAGTATTCGTACAGAATAGTAAACATTTAAAAACAAGTTATGTTCTGCATCCTTCAGTCAGTCTGTGGTAACTAATAACTAGGAATGAAAGAATCCTAAGTATTATAACAAGTAACTAAACTTGTAAATTGTCACTGACAGCTTGGTTAATGCAGGAAAACTGCATTAGCTTTCAACAAAACCAATCGTTCCATGTTGTCAGCATTAAGGCCGTGTATGCAGAAGCGAGTGTAAGGTAACTACTATTCGTATTCGGCCCGGCTGCAACTATTTGGCCTAATACCGAATAGTCAATAGGTCCACTATTCGGCCCCAAAGCGAATACGAAGCGAATATTCGGTACAGCCTTAATAATAACTGACTTCAAACAGATCTTATATAGTCAACAATCATTTAAGAATTTTTATTTTAACTTCTGTCTTAACTATTACAAAGATGGTTGGCATGTTGTGTTGTGGTTCACAGATAAGCTGTGATATCTGCACCTTTTGGCCCAATATATCCAATATCAGCAGCCATATAGTCACCCCCCCCCCCCTCCCCCTCATTATTCTTATTAGGGATGGTGAGTCTCTTCTTGACATCAAAGATCGATCGATCAAGGAACTTCAGGAGTGGAAATTTTCTGGAAACTTAGACACAATGTCAATTTGTTAGAGAAAATCTGGATTCCAATGAGCTATATATAGCTGGAAAAAAAAAAAAAAGAGAGGAATTAAGTTTCACATCCCTCGTAGTCTTAAAACTGCCAGCTGTGTTTGAATGTAGTGTTGAGTAGTTATATCGAAATGAAGCAGTTAACACAGTTAAATGTTATATAATTGTAATTATTAGATTCTCCATCCCATTATACTTTAAAAAAAAAAAAAAATTTCATTTCTATAAGGTATGAGGCTGATCTACAGTAGGATTTGTAAGATAAGGAAGCTCCTCAAACCATTGCAAGTGAAGAAATCAGCATTAAATTTGTTGCTTGCTAATACGCCTTTAGAGTGTTTTAATTATCAATAGTTTTTTTAGCATAGTTATTTTGCAGGCTTCTTAAACTGATTAACACTGTAAAATTTGAATTTACATTCATATATTAAGTTTATTCCCTATGACATGATAGTGGCAATATACAAAAATGTTTTTAATTAAATCAAGTTATGACCGGTACAAGTAAAATACATAGGGGGGTGGGGGAATTTATACAGAATTAAATTCTAAATAATATATAGCAAGAACACGGAAGGAGCTGCAGGTGATGACAAATTATGAGGCACTCTTCTGAATATTGGTCACAAATTATTCACTGTTTAAAAAAAAATCACATTCAGGGCCTTAACAGGTCATAAAGTTAAAAATATGGAATAGGAACACTACGAACTATGCTTCACGTTATTATATAATTTTATGGGAATTAAACTCTTGCTTCTTCGGTAGTACAGTTGTAAGTATTCCACCTGTCATGCTGGAGACTAGTGTTCGCTTCCCGCCGGTAATAATTTGTTAAGCTCTTAAAGAGCGGTTGGCAAGTTGTGTTGTGGTTTACAGACAGACTGCGAAATCTGCGCCGTTAGCCCCAACACATCCAATTTCAGCAAAGTCCTCATAAGCCACCTTTTACAGTATGCTTTTTAAGTGGCAGGGGATCTTTTTTCCCCCTTTAACATGTGGCCCTGGAACCCACAAGGCGAGTCACGAGTAATGTGAACAATGGATCAAAATCTATTCGTCCCCACGCTGCCTCAATGGATCGAAAACTATTCCTCCTCAAGGCGTTTAGCTTAAAGCCTAAATATTGCTATCCATCGAGCAATAACCGCAAAAGTGGAAACTGATAATGATGGCCTAAATGTTTTTACTACATAACCTCCTGAGGCTCTCAAATGGATGTTTTTCGCAGTGAAAAATTTAGGACTGTATTAAGAAGAGTGCCAATTATAATAATAATAGGAAGACTTGATAGTCCGAGATGGTTACAGTTGCCTCCGAAACAAGACTTTAAGTCCAGAAGTGGAAGAACTGCTAAAACTTTCCTGCTGCATTTACAGCAAACTGGTCTATCCTCCGAATAACGGTCCTAAATTATCAGGGCGGAAAATATACCCTAACAGGGCCTCAGTCACGTGTCAATTGCACACTTCTGGGGACTATAATGCCACAGCTGAATTGCTAACTTTCGGCAACCTCTGCCACCGCCGAGAGTGACCCCCACGCCGCATGAGTGGTGTGGATTGGGACTAAACTAGATGGCTAGGTCTCACAAGCAGCAGGCATCTCCTGCAGCTTCCTTCATTTTATTAGCCCCAGTCACTCTCGGCGGTGGAGGAGGTTGCCAAAAGTTAGCAATTCGGCGGTGGCGGATTGACACGTGACTGAGGCCCTGTTAGGGTATATTTTCCACCCC